TTAAATCTCCGCCCACATCCCCTGGCCCGGGAAAACCCTGCAATAGCCTTAATGGCGAGGAAGGGGTGGATCCAAAAAAAAAGTTTTGTTTTTACTACTGTATCCTCGCAAGGGCTCATTACCGCGTATGGGGAGCGTTCCACGGTTGGCGGATGTGGAGATGGCCGGCGGAAATTCCTTAGAAGCTCCTCCCGTCTAAGTTCGATGGACTCGCTGACCAACAATGAGATGGGACCTCCAGACTTGCTGGAGGGAAGGTACCTCCAGACTTGCTGGACGAAGGGGCCCTCCAGACTTGATCTTTAGTTCTCCATAATAATCATGGATTCCTCTAAGGTTAAATGTACATTATCCGTAGTTAACTAGTCCCCCGTTCAGGTCTCCGAGTGAAGACTGCTTTAGGGGATTCGTGGCGTAAGTTGAAAAATAGGAATTTAAGTATTGGTACGTGGAACGTAAGAAGTTTGAATTCATAAGGTGGATTAAAATCGGTCGTGAATGAGGTTAGTGGGTACAATTTAGATATCGTGGCTCTGCAAGAGGTTCGCTGGCCAGGGGAGGGCTCCATGAGGGAAGGAAAATACACTATTTGGTACGGAGGAAGCGGAAATCATTGTTTAGGTACCGGGTTTCTAATGAGGAATAGATTGCTATCCGCTTTGAGGGACGAACAATTCTTTAGTGATAGAATTTCAGCAGCTATATTTCAGGGACGTTGGTTTAAAATCGCGTTAATAAACATACATTGTCCGACCGAAGACAGACGATGAAGTCAAATGTGAATTTTACGATAAACTCGAATGAGTTTATGATAAACGACCGCGAAACTCCATGAAAATAATTTAAGGTGACGTAAAAGCAAAGATGAGGATAGAAGAAGTTTATGTTCCAACGATTGGTAAAGAAAGTTTGCACGAATATAATAATGATAATGTTATATATATCATATATATATATATATATATATATATATATATATATATATATATATATAGTAGTGTTGGGCACACGCTTTAGCCCATTCGGCCACCCCGCCCACAAAACAAAACAATTAAAATTGTTATCGACAGTTAAATTATTGCACTAAAATATGTTCCTTAATATAAATAAAATAATGTACCGAAAACGTTATTATAGCCCTATAATTACGTCATTTATGAGTAATCAATTATGATGTAGAAGACAGTAGGTGCTTACAGCAGAACCACTTTTTCCGCCGATTAAGTGCATTTTCTAAGGAACCATTTTAGAAGTAGTGGGTCAAGAATTTGATAAAAACCACGTTTTCTGAAAATGAAAATATTTTACAAAAAGTTTAAATAGCTGTAACTGTAGACTGGTTTGAGATAAAATTGCAAATGTATATATATATATATATATATATATATATATATATATATATAGAATAGAATAGAATAGAAAAATCATCTTTATTCTGGGACTAGGTCCCTTTAGAATAACAGTATTGTTCATATATATTAACCATAAATCTGGCCAAAAGACTTATTACAATGAATAATAACAAAATACTTGTAATAAATTAAGTATTAATTAAGCTCTTAGGATAAATTAACTAGGACAGTTGGGTAATAGGGGTTCAGTACAATATTGGAGCAAAAACAATAGCATAATAATCACTGAATGAAATTGGAAAGGAAAGCAAAATCTATTTTATAGGTAAAGCATTGTAGTGATGGAATATAAAAATTTAAAAAATAATAATAACTGTTAATATGTAAGGAAAGAAATTGTAAAAACTAAAACAAAAAAAAAAATAATGATATACATATGTTCCCTAAGATATTTAAATGATTATTCGTTAAGATTAGGAGAAGAAAAAATAAAATAAAGTATACATATATATACACATAGCGAGAAGTGTGTTGAAGATAATTAGAAAATAAAATACATTTCACTGAAATACATTTCATGAATAAAAAAATTAGAAATTAAAAAAAACAAATTTTATCTACTTACTATGCTTAGTGAGTGGTGATGAAAATTCACGTTCAACACGGAATAAAACAATAAAAAATAAGAGAAAAAAAAATGTCTAAAGAAAATTAAAGCCTTATAACATAGTATTTATTTAACCAGCGTCTGATTGGATTGTGAAAAGGAATTGGAATAAGAGGGTTTTAAAGGTGGATAAGGATGATGCATGGCGGATTTTTAGTGGGATGGAATTCCAGAATGCAGTGGAACGGACAACGAAGGAATATTTAAATGATGCAGATCTGTGGAAAGGATTGTAAAGGTCAGAAGGACGAGATCTTGTGGAGAGGGTGTGGATAGATGATTTGAATTGTAGGAGATTGTATGCGACGGACGATGACTATTGATTATTTGGTAAAGGAATGTGCCTAGGAAATATTGTCTTCGGAAGGAAGGGAAGAGCCATCCTAATTCAGCATAGTGGTGCGAAACACGGGAACACCTCAGGGCCCCTGTGACAAATCTTACGAAGGCATTCATAATTCTTTTCAGTCTCTCCCCGAGTTCTGCCGAGAGGCCACCGTACACCACGCAGCCGTAATCAAGGTGGGGGAAGATGAGGGAAGTTACTAGGAGTCTACGTGTGGGAATGGGTAGGAGATGGCGGAAGCGATGGAATAGTTTCAAGGTACCAATTGACTGTCGGGAAATGTGAGCAATATGGTGATTCCAGGATAGGGTTTGGTCTATGAAAATTCCTAGGTTTTTTACTGAGGAGGTGAAGGTAATGGGATGGTCATTTAGGTACAGTATAGGTATGTTGGTATTGGCTCTGAGAAGGGGTTTGGAACCAATGACAATGGCTTGAGTTTTTGCAGCGTTTAATTTTAATCCATTTAAAATTGCCCAGGCAATGATTTGGGAGTCATCGGCGTAAAGGTGATGGGAGCAGTGGAGGATTGAATTATGGATGTCATTGATATAAGAACTAAAAAGGAGGGGAGATATGCTAGAGCCCTGGGCCACTCCTGCGGACAAAGTAAGATAGGAAGACAAGGGTTGATTAGGGATAGCGACAGCTTGTGAACGTTGGGAGAGGAAAGATTGAAACCACAGGATAGAACTATGGGAAAAGGATAATGATTTTAATTTGGAAAAGAGAATGGAATGGTTGATGGAATCAAAGGCTTTGGAAAAGTCAAGGAGTATAAGGACAGTTAGTTATTTGTCATCAATGGCGGACTGAACATCATTAATGATTTTGATTAGGGTGGATTGTGTGGAATAACCTGGTCGGAAACCAGATTGGTAAAGGTCAAATTGATCGGACTGTTCAAGGAAGTTGGAAACTTGGGATTGCACAATTCTCTCCAGGGGTTTGGAAAGGTTGGAAAGGATTGAGATTGGCCGGAAATCTTCAGGGGAAGACGGATTAGAATTTTTATTTAAAGGACGGACTGTGGCTTTTTTCCACAAGGAACGGAATACTGAATTTTGAAGGGAAAAATTGTAGATGAAAAGGAGTACCGGAAGGATTTCAGGGAGGCATAATTGAATTAATTTGACGGGAATGTCATCTGGACCAACAAAATTAGAGTGTGATTTCATCACGGCGGATATGAGGTCTGTGGGAGAAATATCTGAAAAATAAAAATCGGCGTCATTGAAAGATGTTCCAGGAGGAAAGAAGGAAGGGGGAAATGGAGGAGTTGAAGAGGAAGCAGGTATAAAATACGAATTTAAGTCATTTGGTGAAACTGGGAGCACTGCAGAGGAAGGAGATCTGGTAGGATCACAAAGAGAGAGTTTACGAAGGAGTAGCCATTTGGATTTGGAATCAGGAGCTGAGGAAAGGGCTTCATGAAAACAGGTAGATTTGGCTCGTCGGATTGTGGTTGGTGTCAGGTTGCGGAGCGCCCTGAACGCTTGATAGTCGTCATATATATATATATATATATATATATATATATATATATATATATATATATATATATATATATATATTCTAATAGAGCATTTAAGTCTCTACAACTTCTTTCGAATGAATTTCTTTCGCTGTTCTATAGTTTAGAGGATATGAAGGAAAGTTTGATGAAAATGTTAGGTAAAATGTTTTTTTTTCTTGAAAATTTCAACTTTTTTCTAGCGTGTAGCTTGAAAATGGTTGATAATTCGGAAGAAAACCTATCGAGTTAACGTTTTAGATAATTTTGTAAATCTTCATTTATCATGGAACAATATTTCCCTCTGATGCACCGTTTTCCAGATATAGGTGGAAACCTGAAAACTGTGACCTTTCCTCCTCCCCTGTACACCATCTAGAAGCCAGGCCTTTTGATATGTTCACATACTAAGCACCATGAACAAGTTTCAGAAGGGATTACTTAGGTCCCTGCTCAAGCACTCTACACCTCCTTTTGGCCTATTCATTGACTGAATTACTGGTATTGCCCACAGCAGCGAAATAGGTTCCTTTCTATTCCACTAAAACAGTGCTTAACTGTTAGCAGTAGTACTTTTACTCAGCTTTTAAAAAAAGAATTAATTCAAAATATTCTTAAATAAATTACTACCAAACTTCGCTCATGGTACAAAGTTTGATTAGAATTGTCAAACCTTTGTAAGAAAACTAATGTATTAAGAAGTAAGGTATTCAATAAAAAATAGTCCAAGGCTTTTAATGAAATAATTATTATCTGTACTAAAGCGGAGAAGAATCAAAATCTAAAAAAAGAAGTAAGAGAGAAGATCTTGAACCTTATAATTTTATTTTAACTACTAAAAGAAACCATTCTGTTGGTTTTTCCTGAATAAAAAAATATAATTCTAAAATAATGTTTTATTTTCTCCCAAATTCTAAAATATTTTCATTTCACTATATTATATTTTCATGTTCTTAATAACAAATAATAATAACGATTATTTTATCAAAATATCCAAAATATTAAACTCAATGAAAAACTGATTTTCCAAATTCTGTGGTTATGAACTAACATGGTTTGATGGATTTTATGAGGTAAATGTTTTATATCATGAATAATTATACCTATAGAATATGATTTTAGATCATACACATGCTATTGTATTGATGGCTTTACTGGAGTTAATTGTCAAACCAACTGGGATGAATGCTGGAGCTCTCCATGTCTTAATGGAGGAACATGTATTGATGGAATTGCACAGTATGATTGCTCCTGCCCAGAAGGTTTCATAGGTATGTACCAAAAGTAAAACGCAATAATAATTCTATATTATGTATATAATATTATATATATAAGTTATTTAATTAACAAAAACTATCAATAATGTTTTTTGCTCCAAATTTTTAATACATAGGCGAAACATGCGAAGAAAACATAGATGAATGTATTTCAAATCCATGTCTAAACAATGGAACATGCATAGATATAGCTAATGGCTACACATGCCAGTGTCAACCAGGCTACATAGGTAATATTACTATACTAATTAATAAAGTTATCGGTGTACTACAAAATATTCAAAGATATACAATTAATACATATGTTATTAATGTTTTAAGTAATTTTTAATACATAATTGTATTTTAATCACAATTAAATTAATAGAGGTAAAGTAATATAAAATATTATATTCCAATTCATTGTGCGACAGTTCATATCATCATAGTGACTTATTTTGAAAAGGAATACTCAGTATCTTGCAGGTTTAATAAACAGTGGAAACACAAACATAACCTTGATACTGAAATCTCCTATAATTTTTATTTGGAAAATAACTCTTCAGCTACTTGAATATAGATTAACTATTCTTTACCATAACAATGAAAGTAAGCAAAGTAATATAATTTTAGAAAATGATACTATTGATTATGACTCTTTCAAGAGCAGCAGGCTCCTTACAACCCTGGTCTCCTTAATTTGGATTACGATTAACAGGTCTAGCCCAAGAAGCCAGGCCATGCTTACTGTTATTTAAAAGACCAATCATATAACAAGGATGCATTGAGATAACCAAGGAGGTATAACCAAACTCATTCTAACCAGAAAGGAAAGGTCAAAATTCATTTCATGGGTTCACCACAAAATAAAGTTCAACCCGCCCAGGCCTGTTTCTAACCACTGCTGCTAGACCAGATAATGATTAAATAAGTAACACTTTAACACTCAGCCATCACGGCCTAATTTTAATGGTTTTACTATTTTTTATTAATTTTCTTATATTACCAACAATGAACAAAAATAGAACTATAAAAATTGTAGTTTATACACAATAAAATATATTGTAGTGTCATCCATGATTTTTGTCTTGTTCCTTGGGACAGACATATAGTTTTCATACAAAAATATGGTTCCCTCAAAAAGTTCACAACAATATAAAATCAAAATATGCTTCCTCAAAAACTCAAAATTCCCCTCTCAAAAATTTTGAACTGATGTTTAAGAATTTATTAGGTTTTCATGCATTATGACAAATGGTATAACATATATGTGATAAAATTGTTCAATAATTAATAAATAGAATTCATTTAAAACAAAACATAGAAAAAAAATAATAATTTTTTAATATCAATTTCTTTCAAGTACCAAATAACTTTGTAAATTCATAATTGAAAATTATGTACTTTACTTTAAGAATTCATATATGAAATCATGGAAAAGGTTTTAGGTGCAGTAAGAAAGAAAAAAGGATGTAGTGTAATATGCTATTTTAATGTCAGCATAAGTTTTAGGTCTTCGCCAGAGTTTATTCAATATCAACTGATAACAGAAGGATTGTCATCTTGTTTTAATACGATGATTAGATATTTTGTTTTAGTCTACAATATCAGCACACATTCTTCCATGAAACATGATTTCTTCCATCATCTTAAATTTATAATATAAAAATCAAACTTATTAACAAACTAATCACAATAATGCATATTTTTTCTTACCAAGGTCTAAATTGTGAAACAGATATGGCTGTTTGCAATTCAACAGATGATGCACATTGCTCAAATGGAGGTACATGCATTGAAGGACCAGGAATATCATTTACGTGTCGTTGTTTGCCAGGTAATACATAAAGTGAACTGTCCATTCTCATTATACAATTATATTACATTTTAGGTGGTAATTTCTTTTAGGATGGACTGGACAGCAATGTGAAAAGTCAACAGATGAATGTGAATCCTCACCTTGTGAAAATGGGGGAGTTTGCATAGATATGCATGCAACTTATGTTTGTGCTTGTCCTTATGGTGAGGAGAAAAATTTAAACTTAAAATGTAAATTTGAAACATCATTTCCATCTTAAACTATTTTCAGGTTATACTGGCAAAAATTGTGAAACTAGAGTTCAGTTATGCGGAAGTAACATATGTGAAAATGATGCACTGTGTGTAATAGAAAATAAAAATAGTGTTTGTTACTGTGTACCTGATTACCATGGAGAAAGATGTCAGTACAAATATGACGAATGCCAAAAAGGACCAGGGTATTAAAAAATAATAATAATTTCATTTTATAAATTAGCACAGAATAAATTATTCCTACTTAATTGATCTAAAGTAAGACACCTTTAAAAAAAAAAAAAACCTGAATTTAGGACAGTTGTATTGAGCCTTTACTTCCAGATCTTGTTATATAAAAACAAAACAAGGCGAAACTCCTAAAATAAGTATTGAGAACATAATAAAACGACTTGAACATAATATTCTATGTCTGTCTCAGAATCCACCACCTTTTGAGGGATCCTTTCACAAGTATAATTTATAATATTTGGTCCACATAGAATTGACCCACACTGGTAAAGGGGTAGTTTGATATGTTTCATTCGTCAACTATGTGACCTCTCTCAATATCGTGTTTTTCTATGGATGTTCAAACAATTTAATAGCTGTATCTAATATAACCTCTAAATGTTTAGCACACATGGATTCTACAGTATTTTTCACCAGTGTTATCCTTCCAAATACACTTGTCTAGTTCAGATTTGTATTCGAAGAAAATTATTGGATCCTTGTGTTTCTTGGTTTATGACTAAATCTTCTTTTCCTCCTTATTGCTACACTTAGAAGCTGAAATCCTCATTTCTTTGCAATTATTATTTTAAAAGAAATGGGATGCTGGACAAAGAAATCAGATTTTCTTTCAAAACTCAACTCCATAACAACAACTCCTGGATAATTGGAGATTCCAGATTTTGGGTGGCTCACTTATTTTAAAAGTATTTTAGAGAAAAGGAAAAATAATTTTTTTTCTAGTGAAAATGTCAACATTCCTCATTCCAAAGTGTATTAATTTATTGTTTAGTTAATAATAAATTAAAATAGGTAGCTAAGTGATTGTGATATAGCAAGAAATGATTTTGGTGAAAAAAACCAGCGAGTCAGTATAATTTTATTTAATAAAATTCAAAGATTAAGATTGCTCAGTTTTGAGAGAATCACCTATTTATGTTGTTGATAACAGATGTTTCTTATACTGGGAAACAAATTTAAATATGAAATGAAAATGATCATTACGTTATTTCTAGAATATTTTTAAAATACTGCTTACATAGTTAAGGAATATTTTATACTTCCATAATAATGATTTATTGGCTATTGTGATCTATTATACAACCATATACAATTTTATTTTTTAAAATCCTAATTTTATTTATTTTTGTTTATACTGATGATATTTTTCACTCTTGTGTTTTAAAGATGTCTCAATGGAGGAACTTGTATTGATGGAGTGGACAGTTATACATGCTCTTGTCCGTTGGGTCTCCTAGGGAGATTCTGTGAATGCATAGCTACAGAAAGAGGAGATTTAAACTGTAATTATATACGATTTCCACTGCCAAACACAAGTCTTCCTACAATTCCTGTTTATACAATATCAAGTACTGCCAAAACTGATGCATTTAGTGATGATTATTCATTAGAAACAAAAGAGACCACAAGCTATGTGCCAATTAATATAAGTACCAGTGAAATAACAATGATTTCACAAACTGAGACGACCAATACAATACTTCATTATTATTCAGATTATACTACAACCCAACTTATGGATACCACAACAGAAGAAAGTTACACATCAGGAAAAGATACAGATCAAACTGTGACTGAAACCTATGTGACACAAGAAATAACAATACCACAGACCAGTGAAACAGTTAAAGAATCTACAGAAGCTACATCGATTATAACCAATACAGTAACAGAAGCATCATCATCTTTTACAACAGAAACATTTGAAAGTGAAATTACATCAGATACTTATTACAATTTAACTTCATTTGAACCAATCGGAAGTACAACACCAACAGAAATAAGTGAAAAAACAACTTCTTTAGAAATTACTGAGGGAACAACTTCATCAGAGATGAATGAAACTACAACTGTAGAAACAACCACAACTAGAATGACTAATGAGTCAACATCAGAAACTTTATTTTCAACCCAGCAAACAGCATTAAGCAGTGAACAATCTTATTTCACCGAAAATACAGATACATCTTCTACAACAGAATACTATGAAATTAGTACTTTTGAGACTTTATCAACAGGCACTGATTTAGTAACAACAGAAAATTTTCCGGAAGAAACATGTTCTCCATTCATATGTGGAAATGGTGGAACTTGTTATGAAGACAAGAGAGGAATACAGGTAATTAATATATGCGAGTCATGATAAGTATGAAATGAAATCTTGTTCAGTACATTTTTTAATATGATTCTATTTTTCAACTTTGGACCTTACTTCTAAGTCATTCAAGTAATAAAGTTTTTTATTTAATGGTTATCAGATTCCACTGGTTCATTTCATGGCATCATCAAAATTTCCTTAACTAAAAACAAATCATACCTTATAATTCTTAACTCCTATTCCCATTTTACAGTGTCAATGTACTTTTGGTTGGACAGGAAAATATTGTGAAGAAGAAGAAGGAATAAAAATTGCCGCATTTAAAGGGAGGTCTTATTTATTTCATATTTTAGGAAATGCAACTAAGGCTACTATTTCTTTTAAATTAAGAACTTTATCCAGCACTGGACTACTAATATTTGCCCATGTAACGTCAAATTTATACATGTCTCTGTTCATACAAAATGGTTTACTCAAATTTCAATTTTCTTGTGGAGTTCAGACTATGCTATTTAGTGAATTAAAGTACCCTATTAACACTGGATTTGAGATGGATATAAGTGCAATGTAAGTAAATCAATAAAAAAAAAAAAAAATCCATAGAAACTCATAAATAGAAGTGAAATAATTTTATTTAAACAATTATTTTTTACTATTAGTCGTTTAAATTAAATTGCAGGCTGGAGTTATTGTCTGAAAATCAGATGCAACAAAAATGTGCTGGAGCTGTTAGACTGAATGGAACACTATCCATGACTGGAAAGCAAGAGGCTTTCGTACCAAAATTTAGTACCAAAGCTACTGGAGCATTTTATATAGGCGGTTTGCCTCATCACATAGCCAATCAGGTTGATATACCAGTTAAATCTGGTTTAATAGCCTGCATACATTCTTTGATGGTTAGTTATTTTTTTAATTTAAAGGGTTATTTCAGGATTGGTAAAATATCAGTGAGTTAAGAAAATAAATTAAACTAAATTTTTATAGGTTAATGGTTTTCCAAGATTCATCTATAGTGATGCAATAGATGGATTTGATGTTTCTGAATGTATTTCTCTGGCATGCCTTTCAAGTCCTTGCAATAATGGTGCTACTTGTGTTGAACAAGACCAGAAATGGAAGTGTTTGTGTCCCTCTGGGTAATAACTATCACAATATTTTAATATTGTGTTAACAACAGAAATTTTATATCAGTTAAATATTTTCAATTATGACCTGATGTATTATTTGATATTGGATTAATGTTTATTGTTTTTAAAACCAAGCAATTTTAATCATTAGACTTCTTTCTAATATAGAGAAATCACATTTCAGATTCACAGGCGATTCATGTAAAATTTCAGTTTGTATGAATAGTCCTTGTAAATTTGGAGGAACTTGTGCACAATATCCTGGTAGTGGATTTTTATGTCTATGCCCCCTGGGAAAACATGGAATGTACTGTGAACAAGGTAACTTACATTTATATCAATTAACATGATTTATTGACACATTATTTTCTCCTCAAAAGTAACAACCTTCAAATAATACACATCATTGTTCAGACCAAAAGAAATTGACAGACATGTATTAAAATTTTTCAGATATTGAAATTGGACATCCACATTTCTCTTCTTCAGTAGATGGTATGGCATCTTACATAGCATACCCACTTCCAGGAGCAATTCATCATAGCTTTGAACTTCACTTTAGATTCATTCCCATGACAGTTGACCAAATTGCATTAATGGTCTTCATAGGCCAAGGAAATCCATACGAATCAAGCGCTGACCATCTAGCAGTGAGCTTTATAAAGGGTTATGTAGTACTAACCTGGAATTTAGGTTCAGGTAGTCATGATAAAATAATAATTATTTTTTTTAAACTTCATATATTAATTAATAATATAAAATCGATTTTTTTTATTATCATTTTTCACCCTCAAATATACTGATATAATTGCCTAAGAAAAGCTATTTGAAATTTTTAAATAGTTCAAATTATACTAAAACAAAAGAAAGGTCACAAATGCACATAAATATTTAACTTTCAGGTCCCCGGCGAATTTTCACTCCTGATCCAATAATTAGCCAGGGCATTGGTAAAAGAATACATACTGTAAAACTTGGAAGGTCTGGTCAAGAAGGATGGTTGCAAGTAGATAATATGCCTAATGTGACAGGGGTTTCACCTGGGTATTTGTCACAATTAAATACCAGACCAATTATTTATATAGGTATGGAATCAATTACAACTATTTTTATTTAAAAGGTATATAATTTTAAAGCAAAACTATTATGATAACTACTATTATTGAGGTTATATTATCATCATTAGAAAAAAAGAGTGACTACTGGATAGTATTTTGTATGCATTAGGAAGATTAGAGGTAAACTAAGGATTCTGTATTAATACCTAAAAAAAATATAAACTAAGAAGCTGCCCTGCCTTCAATTTATTGAAGAAATATATTAAATTAACAAGTGAATAGGTAACAAAAAAAATTTTTAATTAATTTCATGAATTATTATTTTTTTAGGTGGCTATGAAACTCGAAATTTTAGTGGATTGCCTCATGATTTGCCTTTACACTCTGGATTTTCTGGATGTTTGTTTGATGTTCAACTACGTGCAGGAAGAGTGAGACTGGCTCTACAAAGATCCAGAGATGCCGTAGGCAGAAATGTTGGACAATGCTCTACAAAACATTGCCATAACAATACCTGTCATCATTCAGGTGTTTGCATTGACCACGGAGCTACATTCACGTAATTAAATTCTTTAAAATAAATTATGAAGAAACAAATATAATTTATAATAATACAGCAAGTTCAGAATTTTTTAATTAATATAAACGTCTTAAAAAATGAAATAAAACTTTAACACGTGTTCTGTTTAATTACATAGATGTTTATGTCAAGATGGATGGTTTGGACCAACATGCGGCCTGAAATATAATCCTTGTGACTCAACAAAAAATAACTGCTCAAACGGTGCAACTTGCGTTCCTTTAGAATTTGGATATGAATGTGATTGCCAGTTTGGAAAAACAGGAAAATACTGCGAAAACGGTTAATATTTTATTGTTCTATATGGAATGGAATTTATAACATTTTAAATTTAAATAACTTATGAAAATAATGCATTTTTCGATATTTTCAGAGGAAGAACTTTCAGATATTGAATTTTCTGGACTGCGGTCATTCTTAAGTTTGGCACCTGCTTCACTTGATGGAACAGAGACATGCATAGATCTTGAAATAAGACCAATATCCTCTAATGGAATAGTGATATACTCTGTCCAAACTGAGGGCTCATCTACAACATTCATTTCTCTTACTCTTCATGGAGGAGTTTTAGAACTGAGACTTCTTCCACTAGGTATGCCTTACAATATAAATTTTGTTTAGAATCTAACATATATTAGTAACCTCTGGGGATTTCAAATTATGAATGAAAGTCAAATTTAAACTTTTGATGAAATTATCAAAATAAAAATGTAATAAGCCAATAACTGATCTATAATAGGTCAATAGGATAACACATTTATTTGAGAATGTGAACAGCAGGGCCAGAACATGGTCAAATTAGAACCTTAAAGAACACTAAAAAAAAAAAAACCTTATGATTTATAAGAAGCCAGGATTTTTATAGGGGCCAGAGTAGAATCAGAAAAGAACAAACAACTTTTACGTGACTAAGGGTTTAACTAATCTCTCACCCAATATTATTCCTTATACTCAGTTGGAATATGTAAGTTACTAAAGATTGAAAAGATAGATGAAAACAAACAATTAATAAATTATACAAAATAATGTATTTATTTGTTTTTTAAAAAAAGGCATACATAATATGTAAATTGACAACTAAAATTTATACAGGAACAATAAATAATTTCATTAAAAACAATTTTTATATAAAATAAAGGCACTATTAAAGACTAAATTTTAAATTGCAATTGTAACAATAACTCCAACTCCCCGACCATATGATTTTCTAAAATTTTAAGCTATGTATTCGCTTGGGAGTTAATTGTGAACTATATTTTAAGAGCTAATCATCGTGTTATTCGAGATTATTCGCAAAGCAGTGTTCACAAAAGAGTACAGCTCTCAAGAATGAAATACTCCCAAGCGAATACTTAGCTTCAGGATTCAATGAATTAATAATAAAAACATTTGTAACAGTAAAAGCAACTCTACATATCTCAGTTTTGTCATATTTTTAGGAGAGTAAAAAATGTATTTATAGTAGTGTAAAAATATACGATCTTTGTTCGTATTCCTTAACTTAATTTAAATTTTAGTAAAATCAAAAGATTAAACATAAATTTTTAATAAAATGGTCAACATATCTCAATTTATGATGCTTCTACACCGACAAATTAATTATATGTAAGAAATTTAATAAAATGTAAATGATTTAGGAGGACAAAGAAATGGCGATCTACTGACAGTAAGAAGTGGAAGAGTTTTGTCTCTTGGGGAGTGGGCTAGAGTTCGAATAGGTCGATATGGAAGGAGAATCTTCCTTTGGGTAATAAAAATGTTCCTACAATATCAGTACAATTTAAGGCACATCAAATGAATAATTTACAATTATCATAAGCAGTCTAACCTATATTAATTTATCACAATGGTTGCTGTCATGCTTATGAAACTTTTTTTTATATAAGGCAGTTAACTGCTTAAATTAAATATAACCATTTTAAAAAATCACAACATAGAAAACAAAGATGACTTAAAATAAGATTTCAGTTTTTTAAAATCTTTTAGGATGAAGATCAAACAACAAAACATTAAATATACACAAATGTCTTTTAGAACACTCTTTGTACTTAAATCAAAGATAAAACATTATTTATAAATCTTCAAAAAAAGCTACACGAGCTTTTGTAGATCCTGACCTAACTTTTCTCAATGTAGAATATTTTGTTTCTCCAAGTCTCACTTGTTCATCATGAAGCAGATCTAATTCACATTGTTTCTCACCAATTTTAAGAACTTCTATTTCAGTTTTCAAATCTCTTAATTGGTTCTGTAAGTGTTTACTCTTTTCTAAGTAATCTACCCTTTCTTTTTCAATTTCCAATGACAACTGTACCATATCATTATCAGCAGTCAATTCATAGGAAGTCAAATCTGCAGAGCTTATGGTGGCATCCCCTTCCAAAGGTAGTGGCTGAACATCTAAGACTTGAGAAGAAGGATAGATTGAATTGACACTAGAATTCATGTAAGCATTGCGAGAAAGAAATTCCAGAAGTTTTTCTTTAGCTTCTTTCTCAGCTAATCTTGCTTTTAACAATTCATCTTTCAATCTATTTGCCTCAAATGCTCTTCTTTCTGATTCATCAACTAACCTTGCAGTAAGTTGTTCTGCTTCACGAGTTTTCTTTTCTAAATTCAATTTTTCTTCCTCAGTTTTCATAGCTGTAAGCCTCATACGTGCTAGTTCTTGTTCGGCTTCAGTGGCTTTCTGACTAAGTAACATTGCTTCTTCTTCTGCAACACGAGATTTTTCTGCCAAGAGTTCAGCAGTTTCTTCAGATCTTCGTAAAGCTTCATTAGCAAGTCTAACTTCCTCTTGGTACTGTATAAGTCTCTGTTCTAAAGCTGCTTTTTCCTGTTCTGCTGTTTTTCTCAGTTGCTTTTCACGGGCAAGTTTATTTCTTTCTATCTGTCTCCTAGTCTTTTCCTCTTTAGCTTGCGATTTCATTTGTTGAACTTCCATTGTATCCGGCTTTCTCCGTCTCATGAACAGATCGTGGTTTCCAATACATAAATCGAGAATAAGTTTGTTCATTCTAACTTTTTTAGAAAAAAACACAAAATTATTAGCAGACTTATCAACAGGTTTAATAACAAACTTCTTATCATCAAAACTTACATGTCGAATATCTGACCATGGAAAATTTGCTTTAGGAGTTAATTTATTATCTTTACTATACATATTCAGTCCTAATGCAGTAACGCCAAGCCAAAGTTCAGAATTTTTTTTATTGGTAATGGGAAAATAATTAACACCATACATTTCTAAATCTTGTGCTATTTTTAAATATTCCATTTCTGCTTCATCTCGAGACATACCCCTGTGATCAGCATACCATATCTTAATTCTATCTTCCCACATTTCTGGAGTCATTTGATACTGGTCAATGACTCTCTGAGGTAACAAGTCTTCACTGGCAAGCATTCCAGGTTTGTAAGTAGCTTCATCATAATCTTCATATTTAGCTTGAACAGCATAAGATGCTAGTAATACAGAAGCTTCAGGAGGGCAGTAAATATCCATTGACAGTATAGCTTGTTTAACTTGTAAAAAAAACAAATGTTGTGTTACCTCTTGTACCAATTCCTCTGCTACATCCTCAGGATAAAATTTTGCGAGGAACATAAAGGGTGTAGTTGGTTGTTGAGAGACAACTTGATCTTGAACTTTTTTGTCAAGTTTCAACCAAGATATGCAATTCTTTGAATCTTCATACTGCAATCCGAAGTACCAGGTCTCACGAAGACCTATGGTACGACAGACCAAATCAAACAAATCTCTCCCAGTAGCTCTCCATTCTAAATTGAACTCTAATTCGGCATCTAAAGTACAAACTTTGACTGGGAAAGATTTCCTTGATTTTTTCCTGATAAACTGCGGCATATTATAGTAAGGCACATAATAAACATCACTTAAAGGGAGTAATAACAAAGACCTAATAAAACATAACCTATATCCAGCCTAACATTGACTATGTTGCGATTGAGAAACAGATTGATTTGCACATAATTATTAGAAAAGCATAAAATAAGCCCAGTCCAGAGGAATGGGCATAATAATCAGGATTAATACACATTCCAAACATTCTGATGTCATAAGAACATCGTTAGCATTTGCTGAAGCTAAGTGCAGAATCGATACTAACCCAGATCGATTAACATAGAAGACTCTTTATTTTTATTCACATAAAATGTAACCACGAATTTCATGTTACTCAATGCTGGACGTTATTTAAAAATGTTTTTAATTTGAATTACAAGTTTTTATCTTATATTTGACGACTTTTCACAATTTAATTATTACTCACATTTTTCAGTTTTGACTATATTTTTACTATATACAAAACCTAAATCTCATTATTACATTCACTTACCTATATATGTAATAGAGAAGGTATTGCGATCGTAAAAATGGCCGAATCTTAATTTTAAATGGAAATTAACGTTTTGAGGATCTCTGAGTCCAGATAACCAAGTCTCACAAAAACTTGTGAGTTTGTGTGTCTGAGACAATTATGAACAGTCTAGCTCAAAACCGAAAAGTCATACGAAATTGAAATTACGTATTTAGGGTAGTTATATTATACGGTAATAGACCAACGTATGACAAGCGCAAACAAAGCTTCTTTTTCCCTTTCAAAGATATTGAAATCTCAAAAACTCTCAAATTAAGGGGCTACAATGCGATGATTAAGCCAGTTTTAATATATGGCTGTGAAACCTGGACACAAACCACCGCATTTTAGAGAAAAATCCTAGATCAGAGTACTAACACATGGAAGAAATATCAATAAAGAGCTGCTTACAGAAAGTAGTCAATCTATATCTCATGATATGAAAGCAGAAAGGTAAAGATGGGCGAGGCATGTAGCTCGGAGTAATCCATCTGGAAGCCTTTACAACAACGAATGCTTCAATAGAAGGCAAAAGAACACGTGGATGGCTAAAAAGGAGATGGATACACAGATTGCGGCAACATCGCAGAAAGAAACGACAGAAAGAGAGGGAGGAGCTAGAAAATATGGAACTGCTGCACCATAAAAAGGTAGAGATTTCTTCAGATTGGACAACAAGAGAACAAAGTAATACTAATAAATAAGCAATATTAATAAATTAATATAATGTATGGATAAAGAAGGTAATTTGGTGGCCAATAAGTCTGATGTTCTTGAAGAAAGGAGAAATTACTTCTATAATCTTCTCAACTCAAGAGAAGAAGATAAAGTGAGAAACCAAGAAGAAGAAATCAACAGATTGCAGTTGGGAGAACAAGAGATGGATCTTGAACCACTTGGTGAAGATGAGTTTGCAAATATCAGAAAACTCAAAAATAATTAGGCCCCTGATATTGACGCGTCCTCTGTTGAACTCTTAAATTAAAGGTGGAATATACTACTACTATACAAATACTACTTTGGACTAAGCAAGCAGTTAAGCAGACGGATACTTTTCAGATAGGCGAAGCGCTACCTTTATAAGGCATTGGTGCGTCCCATACTTCTTTATGGGTCGGTGTATTCGACAACTTCAATGACTACTGAAAAAAAAATTATTTTCGAATGAAAAGATCTCCGTCGTGTTTTTGGAGGAGTAAGAGCGGCGCACGAATCAAGACTTGCACAATGCTTTCGAGGAAGCTAATGTGAAAGCAATGAAGTTGAGGTGCTTTTAGGTATGCACAGGGCATATTGCCAGGATGAAAGATGGAGAAATGCCTTAAAGATTGCTTACACAGCCAACCTATGGGACAAGGAAGAGAGGGAGCCCAAAGCTGAGATGGTCAGGTGATGTGGCAGAAGATGCCAGCAACATGCTGGGAGTTCGGAACTGGATGAATGTGACGATTGGAGGAGGCCAAGACTCCCCAAATTTTCAATATTAATTCATGGAGCACAGCAGCAATCTCTCAGTTCTCTCATTTGGAAAGTTCCACCGGAAGATAATCTATCTCAGACGCCTTATGGTTTTTCATTCCTGCTATTATATCCGCATATCCCCTTTGTCAAATGGTATATCATCACCTTTTTCAATACTCTCGATTACTGGATTCACCTGTTCTACTTCTTAAGCATGTTCATAACTAACGGTCAATATTGCACAGTAATATCTATCATTGTATATTAATTGTTATAACTTCCAATATCCAAAAAATTTCCTTGAGATTAATATGAACTATTTATCCAAGTCCAAGCCCAATAAAATATTCGTTGCAACTTACAAACTATTTATTAACTGATGTTGTACAAAACTATAAGATTACAAATGAGAAGTAAGATCATGTATCTCATTAACTAAATTAACGCAACGTAATGTTTTTTATACATAAAGTATAAAAAACATTACGTCATCATAGTAATGTTAAAAAAGATTTGAACAACAACTCTTAAAACACTTTGTAATTCCCGTTAGAGGCCTTAAAATGTAACAAAATTACAGAAAAAAGGTATTAAAAGCATCAATTGTAGCAAGGCACACTATTATAATTATTAATGATTATTATATGAGGAGTTGGTCGGTGGGTGCGGTTATTAGAATATCATATATATCTATAATAATATAGTATTTATATGACCTCACCCCCCGACCAACTCCTTCTCATATTATAATTATTGTAAAATTAGGGATATGAAAATTTAAAAAACATATTAGGCACTTTTAAGAGAATTTTTTTCACCAATTTTATCACCAAAGGCAACAAAAATATTTTTTATACAATGGAAACTGAACGCTTTCATTACTAAATAAAATGGTTTCCTGAAAATAAAATTTAAATGATCTGTTCTGAAAAAATGAATATATTAAAATTATTATTATTTTTTTATATTAATATTATTGAATTGATAGGTTGATGGTACTGTAAATGCTGGCACATTACTTCCAGGAGAAATACTTCTACCATCCCATTCACCTCTTTACATCGGTAAGTTTTTAGAATAGTAAATAAATTAAATTTGTTTAAAATATATACTTTGAATTGATAAGTGTTTAATAAATATTATTTTTTCTGCATTTATTTTACAAGTCAATTTAACAATTTAAGATCCTTTTTGATTCGAGAGAGTTTCTTCACAGGAGCCGAAGAAATACGTCACAAAATGATAGTCATTTAATATTTTCCGTATTGGAGTATTCATTAATTTTAAATACTTTGGCCAGTTATTAAAATCAATCTCTGATCCTATATTGTTTCACTATGTTTATCTGTCACCCTTCCATCCCCCTCTTTCTCAGCTGGATTTCGGCTAGGCATTATTGAATGAATTTTTATTCGAATAAATTATTCATGAAATGTTTATATGCTTATATTTTATTCATCGACTATTCTTAGAATACTGTAATAATAATATAGTAATACAAATAAATGCTGATTTATTTTTGGAAGTAATTAATTTATTTTGATTTGCATAAAAAGAAATGTATTCAATTAAAATGCTCTCTGAATAAAGCTTAATTTAATGAGAATATTCAGTGAATAAAAACTCATTTAAGAAAATCTTAAAAATAGTTCACGAACAAAGCAGGAGATAAAATTGTATTTCCTAGAGGCGGATTTCCCAATATTAAAATAGTTGTATATTGATATAGAATATTTTAAATTTCATAATAAAATAAAATTATGTATATTGTGTATTATTATGTTTATCATAGGTAAAAAAACAATTATAAATATTACTATAAAAAACTTTGAATTCTACTTAGGGGGCTTACCGGATCTTTCTAAGGTAGCCGTGGAAGCAGTACCAAAACCGCCTGTGCCCTTTTCGGGGTGCGTGAGGCGTGTATGGATCAATTGGCGCACAGTTCCCCTGGACAAGCATCACGTTTTGTCCGCCCGAAACGTCCACGATTGTGACGGAACTGCTTGCGGAGGAGATGTGTGTTTTAATTCAGGGAGTTGTTTTCTAACATCGGATAACAAGCCAAGCTGTAAATGCCTTGAAGTATGCATATAAAGTTAATTTAGAGACATAGTTTTGACAAAAATTACTAAGCTATCCAAGGAAATAAAACAATTAAATTTCAGAATTATATGGGGGAGAGGTGTGAAAAGCAGGCCTCGTGTCAAGAAGTGGGATGTGAGCACAATGGAAGATGCCTGAAAGACGGCAAAAGTTTTAAATGTCACTGCCCAGCTGGATGGACGGGTCCATTTTGCAACATAGGTAATGTATAATTTTCAATATTTTTATTAGATAAATTGTGAATGAAAATATTCTTTTATTGATTTTTTAAAGTTTAATAATTTTCTGTGACAATGAAGTGACACATTTGTTATAAAATTCATTCCTTACTAATATTTTAGTTTTTGAAGAAATATAAAGAATATGTCCGTGATCATATAATATGAAATATCATCATATCAAGACGGTATACAACTTTTGTGCGTTCAGAATCGAGGAAATACTCGTAGTGTAACAATATCTTCTAATAACCACGCAAAATAATACAAAAATATAAGATATATTGTGGCGTACTAATAATCGATATCGGCATATCAACCTTTGGGCCGATTATCGGCATCGGTCGATTTCAAAAGACGACAAATACATATTTTTATTAATAGAAAAAATAAAAATATGATTTCATGTTTGGATTTGAAAGACAAATGTAGAAATGTAGTGCAGCTTTCGGGTCCCACAAAGTTTTGTTATCATCCTGTTTTATAATTAAATGCATACTCTTAGTTCCACACTTTCCATTTTGATTGGAGAGGGGAGGGGTGCGATGGTCCCTTATATTGGTATAAAAGTCCCAGCATTATTGTTTGTATAATTATATTTAATAGGACTTTAATAATTACTTAAAACCCATTTCACATAGGTAGTTGGTTTCTTTCTTTGGGATTGAAGCTCCCAAAAATTCCTTCCGTTTGTTTTGTGAGGTGGATATGAAATTTGTTTTTTCTTGAATTGATGCGTATTTATTACAGACAAATTTAATATTTATTACTGAATTTACGTTTAAAATAAAGAAACCTATTGATTGCTTCAATTATTACATGAAAACTTAAATATTAGGACTAGAAACATCAAGTTTGTCGCTGCTAAATACGCATCAATTCCTATGACAGAAATCAGTTAGAAAAACACAATTTCATAACCACCTTACATAAAAAATATTTGAATTTTTTAAATAAACTGTGATTTTAGGCAATTATGTTTATTAGTATACATCCCAGATCGCGAAAAAACAAGAAATAAAAGCTTTGTAACAGTAAATTGTATTCATTTTTGCTGAAAACACGAGTATTTTAGGTGACAGGATTGAAAATCACATAATTTATTTACACTAGTTGATGTGAATCTCAAAGCTTATTAAACGAATGATTTTATAAAAGTTGGTTAAATGTAGCACAGCGGAAGGATGACAAACAAAAAAAAAAAAATCACAAATAATTTAAGACTTTTTTTAAACGAAACTTGACTGTGTTTGTCCGCCCAATAGTCCTCTTTAAATAGTTTTATCAATGACAAACTCTACTTTCGTTTAAAGTTAATGTTGTGTAGTTTACTATAGAGCAATGTTTAGTTACTTAAATCAAATATTTATTAAGTTATATTCTACTATATATTATACTGTATTGAGCTGCCAGGAGCCGAATGGCCTAATAGCCAACGGGAGAGGTGTTAAATAATAAAAAAAAGATATTATAAGATATTATTATATTATATTATAAGTTTTCCTATTCAACGAAAAACGTTACTCGCTTAAAAGACACAAATCTCAAATTTCCGTTACAGATTTGAGAAGATTTAAAAAAGTACGAGTTTGCGTCCCGGTGCCGGAGGGGATTTTAAATTTCCTGCCCTCACCCCCCGGCCCGGGAGAATCCCCGTACACTCTGTGTATGTATACACTCTGTATATACATCAGGAAATGTGATAATATCTTCACGAAAAAATGGAAGGGGGCAGATGAAGTAATCATAAAATCCTATGATATATGGTTATATATAATGATCAACATATAATTTATTACATATAATTGTATGTAAGATGATTATCTTTGTTTATATGTAAGATGCAAGATACAGTAATGATATAATGTTTGACACAGGAACATAGAGTGTAGTAAAATCCATCTGGAAGCCACGAAGTAACAATGAATGTGGAATCATTTCCCTTTTGCTAAATATTGTCCAACAAGCTTTATTTGAGTAAACATATAATGACAGACTTCGGGGGAGGCGCCATCGCTTTTACTCAAATAGAGCTTGTTGGACCAAATTTAACAAAAGAGAACTGGTTACACATTACATATCGTCAGTTTATTACAAAAAATTATGATTTTATGAGTTGTAAGTATATTTTTGATTGAGCTGAACCTTTTTCTGGGAAACAAATCAGAAACAATGGGTTCAAATACAAAAATTTTTATGACATGTTGTTTATGGTTCTCATTGGACCATGCCATATACCTACTCTTATCTCAACAATCCATTCAAATTCTTATTGATTTAGATGGTTCATAAATATTAATCAATTTAAAAAAATACTCATTACAGAAGTTCCTCTGGGTATGCCGCATTTTGGAGGTGATGGATACCTAGTTGTGGACACTAAGCACGGTGTTGCCAAACGCGGCGGGATCTCTATGACAGAACCAGCTATTACTTATATATATTTTAACTTCTCCTCATCACAGAATGATGGCATGTTACTATGGTCCTCGAAGGTAATCAAATGAACACGAGTTGACCATGTATTTTTATAACATTGTTTACTCAACTCGTAATACTAAAATTTCTAATTTTCACAGGAAGATAATTTTATTGGTTTTGGATTGGAGAATGGATTACTAAAAGCAGTTTGGGGTTTAACAGCTGAGGAAAGTAAATCTGTTCTACTTCCAGGAACTCTTATTTCGGACGGTGCATGGCATGCATTGACAACATCCATTAATGACGGGAAAATTAACTTCTCTACTGACGGTGCAATAAATCATTCATATAGCACTAAATGGCCAATTATTACTAATGGAATATTTTATATTGGTAATTATAAATATCACGCCTAATTTAGTGTTATATTTGTCGTATTGGAGACTGGCCATCAATAACAAACCAAGTTACTTTAAAAAAATCGTATTATATAATTTCAGGCTAGCTAAATGCCAGCATAATGAATATTGATTGTATCAATTAATGATAGTCGTATATATCCCAATTTTTAGGCAGTTGGCGAAGATATTCAGTTTGTAAAAAATTTCTAAGTCATTTTCTTTATTTTGGAACTTAGTCTATTATTGATGGCCAGTCTTTTTTTACTGTTTTTTTCAGACTGATCATTCAACTTAAGACGATTCAGTTAGAAAAAAAAAATCAATTTAATGATAAAAAGAAGAATGTAAGTGTTTGTTTTTAAAAAATGAGCTGATGTCAGTACTTAATTACTTTATTAAAACAGAAACTTTATATAACTTACAACATAGTTATTACTATGAAATCTGTTGTATAAAGAATTCCTAGAGTAATAAATTATTGATTGAGATTAAAATATCTGCGGTTTCAAGAATTCTGTTATATCCGGTGTTTTTGTTTGTTTGTCTTTCATACTCTAATGGCCGCAACTGTAAGTTCTTAACTTATTTTTTCTTTATCTCATTTTTATCCTTCATCTTTAATGCCTCATTTCTTTTCATTTTATTTTTTAGTGCTAATATTCTATTTTAATTTGATTTCGATCTGTTTGAGTTCTAAGGCCTAACTGGCATGGTTCTGGTTTTTAAAATGACAGTAATACTTCATTTAATAGATTTCTTGTAAATTAATTTACTGAATTAATTCAAGATGTAACAAAGATATAATCATCAGTTTGAGATTTAAAATTGTTTGAAATTATTCCCATGGGGTGAAAAATTGTTATTTTTAATGATAACCAAGCTTTATTTATAAAAAAAAAAATGCAAGAATGTAAGTTGTAAATCCTAATTAAGACAAATATTTCAATACTTTTTAAAGGTGGGTTTCCTGATGATAAGAAGGTGTATGCAGAAACATACGGATACTTCCAATCTTCGTTCAATGGCTGTGTAAAGGAATTCGCATGGAATAGACAATTTAGTGTGGTCGATTTTTCAAAATATAGTGGATCAAACCTTGGAAGTTGTGATCTGTTTACTTCAAGAACTGGTGTAGGGATCAACGTTTAGTTAATTGAAGGAGGAATAATTTTCAAATTTCAATGGTGAATTTGATTATTTATAAGAATGTTTAATTTAATTTGTCTCTCAGTTACTCTGTTAAACACACACACACAAAAAAGGAGGCCATCATGGCTGATTGCTAAGGCGTCATAAACTTAGTAAGATCGAGTCTAGCGGCACCGCACAATGAGAAGTGCATATAGATTCCTTGGACATCGGTTTTAACCTACTCGGAAATTTTAGTGGAACCCTAAAATTTGGGCAATTAAGGTGTTTGCTGAAGTAGAATTTGAATTGAAATATTTTAGTCGACAAAATAAAAATGCAATAATTTATTAATTTTTTTTTTTATCACGAATATTTAAAGGAGTTTCATGTAATATGTCTCCAAATTCACTTTCTGAACAAACTCCTCGCTTCCTGTGACATCTTTACTTTTCACCAAACTGTTAAGGTCCCACACTTGGATTTGATGAGATTGGAATCGATTAATAAACTTGTTAAGTATGTCTGTTATTTTCGATTTGAGGATATTTATATCTAATGTAACTACTTATGTTCAACCTGCAAACTGATAACATCTATTCAATTTTGTCTTTGACAATTAAAAGTGAAATATATTTATTAAATAATTAGCAATATTTTGAAACATGGTTTGTTTTCATGTTCATTTATTTAAAAGAAATTTCTTAAAATAAAATATGTATTTGAATTACCTACATCTATTTATAATAGGTATTTCATATTAAATAATAAGTATTTCAAGTATAAATTTATCACATAAAATAAACATTGTAACAATATTCTCGTTAAGCATCAATATATATATATATATATATATATATATATATATATATATATATATATATATATATATATATATATATATATATATATATATATATATATATATCTTTAGTTTGTGTTGTAAACATTGCATAGTTCAGATATTGTTGAATTTATATTATCTGTTTATAAATAACATAAAATTATAAAAACATATTTTACTTTCACTTACCTATATATGTAATACATAGCAAGAAAAAGTATTGCGATTGTGAAAATTTTCGAATCTGAGTTTTCAACGGTGTGTGTGCCCGCGTGTGAACAGCGTAGCTCATAAACGAAAAGTCGTACGAAACTGATATTATGTATATAAGGTTTGTATATGCCTGGGATGTTACAGTAGATTTTCCGTCAAAATCGGTAAACTGGAAGAGGCACTTTAGTTCAACGATATTACACATTTTTCCGATTTTCTCAAAACGGCTCAAACGATTTTGATTAAACTCGGTATATCAGTGTATTATTAAGTTGTTTTTAATACCAGCAAGGTCTTATCCACACTGATGTCACTTTAAAGGGCTTAAATGCCTATATTCATATACCTCTTCTGAAGTACCTTTAATTTGGTTTGTTTAAAAAAATTAATTCTCTCTTATTGATATCAACTATAAAAAATGGCTATAAATAATATAAAGCATGAAATAATTTTATAATTGGAAAATAGAGAAGAAAGGAAAAATGTTTATTAAGGTCGAAAACGAATTTCCGGTAATACTAATCAGAAAGTATAAATATAATAATAATATATCATTAGAAAGCGGAGACTTCGAAATTAAAAAATATATTGATTCAAGTTTTCACTGTATTTAAAGTGTGCTTGAAAAACCACTTGTAATTGCCCAATTTTGTCAGACAAGAATTGATTTTCGATGTAGTGTATTAAGTGAAAGATGTGTGATGCGCGCACCTGATTTTCATGTTGTTTAAAATTAAACTGTTATTATGATGATATTGATTCAACATAAACAAAGCTATAAAGATCAATAATCAACAATTACTTATCTCATAAAGTTCGGATTTTACGGAACTTAGTCTCCCAAAAGATGCTTTCGTTCCATTGTAGGTACAACGTAATGATTCTGGTATTACAGCCGCCATAGTATTCACCAGCAGTGCCTGATTCTGTTCAGCACATACCATTAGGTTTAAGCAAGAAACATATAAAACCAGCTGTAAATATAAAAAAAAGATGATTTACTTTCTTTCAAATATTGTCTCATATCATGGCATTATTAATGCAACAACTGCAAATTGTTGGCCATGGCGGGGATACGATATTAGTTTGATATCAACGCATTCAAATTTGCAAATTTATTTTCCTCAAGAAGTACCCTCGCCTCACTGTGCGCCAGTTCCAATCAGACATGTGTGGGTTGAAATTTATTTCGTGGCGGACTCATGGAATGATTCTCAATCTTCCCACTCCGGTTAGAATCCGTTGGCAGTGCCGGCCTAAGACATTCGGCGCCCCTGGGCAATAACGTCACCCATCCTCCAAAAAATTTGTTTGTTTGTTTTTTATTGTTGCCTCTACCCTGCAGGGTCATTGGCAACACTTCCAAAAAATTAAATTAATTTCTTAAATTATTTTATATTATGTAATATTTGAATTTTATTTACACTCCTCTAATGCAGTTTTTTTTATTGATAGGCTAAACTTTATTATTTTAAAATGATTTAGTATTTTTAAAAATTTTATTTACGACAAATGGCGAGCGCTCCTGAAGATCAACCAACCAGCGCCCTACACGGACGCCTCTCCAGGTCGGAGCCCCAGGGCAATTGCCCCACCTTAAAACCGGCACTGCCCGTTGGTTATATCTATAGAATTACCTCCTTTCTGAAATGTTAAAAATGGTTAAGTAGAGGATAAAAGCGAAAAATATTACTCTGTTAAACTTCAGTTTTATGAAACGAAATGTTAATACTGCATGTTACAATCAGAAGATATTCTTCTAATAATTATGTTTTGTAAACTTTTTATTTTAAAATGTATAATGTTATGTTATGTATTTATTAGATCATGTAGATAATATTATTTAAAAATACCTGTGTTGTTTTCTAAAAACTGTTTCAATAAATTATATACGATTGCTTTTTACTTATTTATTTTATTTTCCTCTTTGTTTAGCAATTCTGTGTTGCCATACTTAAAATAAAGAACGTGTTATAATCAGGTCAAACTTCCTAAGATCAGTTTTTATTAGATCTATAATTTTTTGTATTGTTGGCTTCGATGCATGTATAACAACGAAATGTTGTAGATCTATATTCTTTCACACCATAAATACTCTAACGATTCAGAAGAAACTATGCTCAAGTCTCTTTCTTAAAGCCCTTTATTGTTTTGGAATACAGTAAACAGAAAAGTGAGGACAAAAGGGACAACTCGCAAAATCAGGGCCATCTTTGAGCCCTGTGGTCCAGGGCCATAGATAACCATGATTTTTCAGGTTTGATATGTTTTTATATAGCATTTCCAAACCAATTGTAATATTCTCCATATCAAATGTAATTTTATCCACTTCAAATGTAAACTTTAACATTTTAAATGCTAAAGGGCGTTTGATTGAGTCTGACATCCGGGATTGCTTTACAAACTCCGTAAATTCCTTCCCCCTACATATTTTCTTATCATCAGTTCCTCTCTTACTGATAGACACTTCAAAGTAAATCACAATAATACCTATTTCATCCCTCTTTTCTCAATTTGCCGGAGTTCCTCAAGGTAGTATCCTTGGTCCTATCCTTTACACAGTTTATACAGCTGATATCCCAACCCATCCTAACGCTGTCATCACTACATATGCTGATGACACATGTATCCTGTCAGTTAATAATGATCCAACAATTGCATCCCAAACTCTTCAATCACACATCACAAACCTTGAAGAATGGTGTCAAAACTTCCGAAACTTGTTGCAGAACAAATTAGACAACTACCTAAAAAGAAAGCCCCTGGTCATGACCTGATAACTGCTCAAGTGCTCGAGAAAATGCCTAGAAAAGCTCTAGTTTACTTAACATCTATTTACAATGCAATACTCAGAACGACCAAATTTCCTGTACAATGGAAATACTCATACATTACAATGATCCACAAACCAAACATAGACAAATACACCCCTTCATCATACAGGCCAATTAGTCTACTCCCAATATGTTCCAAAATCTTTGAAAAACTACTATACAAAAGACTTATGAACATATTGAAGGACGGAAAAATAATATCAATTTGGATTCCGACGACAGCATTCAACCATCCATCAATTACACAGAGTGACTGACTACATTGCAACTGCACTGGAGCAAAAATTGTATGCAACTGGAGTATTTCTGGATGTCGCTCAAGCATTCGATAGAGTCTGGCATAAGGGTCTTCTCTTCAAACTTAAGACGATATTCCCTCCTACCTATTATCTTATACTTCAATCCAGTCTGCCAAGGCTCAGAACTTTCTTCAATAAGACCAGCCTTAGCAGGAGTTCCTCAGCGGTCAGTACTAGCTCCGCTTTTATACATTATATACACACACGACATCCCTAACAGCGCCAGAACTATTATAGCGACTTACTTAGACGATACAGCTATTCTGACAAGACATAAAAACCCAACACAAGCCACACAGACTTTACAACATCATCTAACAAAACTAATCGACGGGTGCAAACTCTGGAAAATTCGACTCAACCAAGACAAATCACAACACATCACTTTTACTCTTCGACATGGAACATGCCCTCCTATTTACCTTGACAATGCCGAAATTCCTCAAACAGATAAAATACAATATCTTGGACTGACATTCGACAGAAGAATGACATGGGGTCCACATATCAACAAAAAAAGAAAAACTTTAAACCTCAGACTACGACTGTTATACTCAATTCTCTCAAGACACTCACAATTAAACCTAAAACAAAAACTGAAGACTTACAATTATCTACTTAAGCCCATATGGACCTACGCTTCACAAATTTACGGAACAGCCAAAACGACACACATACGAAAACTACAAACTTTTCAGTCTAAAACTTTCAGAACCATAACCAAAGCTCCATGGTACGTCACAAACATTACACTACATAAAGACCTTCAAATGCCAACAGTTAAAGATCACATACGGACTTACCACAAGCGATTTCACAATAACTTACATGGACATACTAACACACTTATACAAAGTATGGCTACATTTAACATGCCCGAAAACACACTTAGAAGGCTCAAAAGGAGCTGGATGAGGGATTTCCTCACTTAAAAATATGCTAAAATCATGGCAGGAAGGGATGCCGCTGGGTACTCCTCTCCATCACGCCGATCAAGCCACTACCTGTACACTTATCGACAGCAGACCCGCTAATTGTCATTGCTTATGACAGGTGTGGGTGAATAAATAAAGTTAATAAAAAAAAATAATAATAAATTCCAATAAATCCCATCAAATCACCTTTAGCCTTCGTCGTAAACCAATGATTTGCTGCCCTAGATTGTTGTCGATGGTTCCAAAAAAAAAAAAAAAATCTGATTGATCATAGTTTGATTACAAATCTAAATCAGTGAACGATTTAATAAAAAAGATTTTTTAAAATCCAATGGGTAATTCCTTAGATTAGCGCATTTAAACTCCATAGCTTAGTTTAACTACATAATAGATTGATTCCTACTGAAAGTGGGATGGATTTTTATCCGACTAAGTATAGCTCTCATGTTGCTTTTTACTTTCACTTATCTATATACGTAACATATAGTAAAGGTAAAGTATTGCGATCGTGAAAATATTCCAATTTCAGTTTTCAACGGAAATACACGTTTTGAGGTTCCCTGAGTCTAAATAACCAAGTCCCGCAAAATGGTCTGTGTG